AATTCCTAACTTAGTCAACATCAATCCAGGTTATGTCAGAATATTGAGATGTATTCTATTTTACCTGCTTCAACGAGTTTTTACTTGAGAATAGTACTGATATTGACCAGGTAAATTAGAGTACATCTGATATTCTGACATAACCTGGATTGATGTTGACTAAGTTAGGAATTTTTGAATTTTACTCAAAATAGGCAAAAATAGGAGGATATTTCATCTAATGTACGTTTCCACTAGGTTTTTGGAACTGTTGTGAAAAACAAATGTTGCCACGAGATTCAGCATAGTCGGTCACCTATGTTTTCATTCATTTCTGATAGTCCCAAATCTAACGGCAGAGGAGTATTAAGGCTTCAAGAAAAACGCCGGTAGCCCCCGAACTATGGACTTTCGAGATGTCGCTTGGATCTGGTTTTGTAAAAGACACCTTGGACTATCCATATATGAGAAAACTGTTAGACTTCTATAAGCTGGTTTTCCAGAGATCAACTAAGAAAGCCTCCAGAGATCCACATAATAACTTTGATTTCTGCATATTATCACGTGCCACGGTTTTAGCTACACAATGGCGAAAATCCGATCTCGATAGCTCATTCCGTGCTCGACTTATACATGTCGCAATCACCCACACTATATTTTGAAATGGATAGTAGTTCCAAGCATATTTCTCTTGAACAATAGCACCAGAAACCTGGAAAAGGTCGTAGAAGCATAGAACACAAATATCTCTGGCGATTGGTGTTAAATGCTTTCCTTTTAACGTCGGACTTGATGAGCACAGGCTTACAAAAATCACTAGATGTCTGCAGAAAACAGGAGATCATATGAATGATCTCCATGATATGTTCCAGTAGATGTTTTAAATTTTGCGCCGACAAGAAAAATTTGTGTGAAAAAAAAGTCGATAGTTTTTGTAGAACAATGAATTCTCTATAAGCAATAAATTGAAAATTGAGTTTTAAAACGATTCTTAATGTGTCAAAAACAGAAAACAAAAGGGGGCGGTTTAATCTGGACTACCCGTCAGACTTTTTTTTTCTCATAGAGATTCTTAGATCAAATCTATCCTTGTCATTTTATTATTTACAGAAATTTAAAAATTAAAGCAAATTAACATATGCTCTGCATAAACTTTTCAATGCATATAATCTAGAAATGAATGGGTTGTCGGTTTGATTGAATCATCTTTGTAAGAAATTGCCCATATATCAGCAAGACAAACACTTGAATGAAAACGATAAAAAATTGTTAGTGGTGATGTAAACGCTTGTATTAACGACCATGTATTTGGCGTAAAATATTCAACTTGTAATGGATTTAATTCTGCTTTTTTTGCCGATAATGAATCATGTAACCACATAGCTAAAATAAAAATTTGTCTTAAATAATCCAATATATATGTATGATAGACTTACAGAAGTTCAACATTAATAATGCTGTTATCATTTCACGACCCGGTTTCTTTTTCAAATGTTCTCTTGATTCTGATCGTCGTCGTAATGCATCTTTTAAAAACGCTGATTGTAAGAGAATTTGAGCTACGGATACAAAACTAACAGTCAAGTCAATTTGTCTTAAACTTTCACTATGTTTTTCACACTCAATTTTAAGAAAAATAGCGGCAAATATACTAAAAAACGCATAAGTAAATGCGCCAAATGTCGTTATTAATATTAGTACTTCATCAAATACATCAACATGAGCATTTGAATCAAATTTTAGTTTCATTGTCCAACGAAACGAAATTATAACAGTGATTAACGATAAACATAATAAAGTTAATTCAGTTATTTGTGAAATATAAAGTTGAGCATCATTTAACAAATAGAATGGTATCAAACTAAGAATCGATAGGAGTATTGCTATACCGCCAAATACGAGACCACGACTTGCTTTTGAACAATTCACCATATAGACTAGAGAATGAGAGTAGAACAATAAATAATGAATTTAAAGAATATGATGAATACGAACCATGTCTATCACCAAATCTCAACATTGCCTTTTTATTTCTACGGCCGATATTTTGAAACATAATGTAAAATACCGTTAGTGATATTAAACTATACTCAATCAGACACGGATACAAATAAACACCAACGTCTGATTCTAAATTCTGTATAAGGGTTGCAGCCGATTCTTGCGTTGATGTTACAATATTGTCTAAGGTTTCTTGAAATGTGTTCGATCTAATCATATTAATGGATGAACTGAATTCATCAATGGTAGTGTCACTAATATCTATAGTTAACCGAGAGTTATAAGAAATTTAAAGGGAATGATATCTTACTTAAAGATTCAGTTGTCAAGAAAATTGCCGTTACTGACGTTGTTGTCATTGTTTCACAAATCAACGAAGTAGGGTCTAAATGACTAGTGTAACGTGCCGTTTCATCAATTGCTTCTTTAACGATTGCTAAACCATTAGAAGTAATAATAATTAAATAAACTATTAGAAAACGCTCAATTGACGTTTACCTTCAAACCACGTACAAAAATTTGCTATAATCATATGAATCAAACCAATTCTAGCAAAACCTAAATTAAATCAAGAATTCTGTATATATAAATATTTTTTGAAAAATAAAAATTGATGACCAAATTACTTACTGCGTTTATTGTCAATCACTAGCTAAAAACATAAAATATAATAATTGAAAAAAAATTTTTATATGATCAATTGAAGTTGCGTACTTACATTTCCGTAACGAAAAAAAAACATAAATTGTGTAGAATGGAATAAAAGTCTGAATATATAAGTAATCATACTGGATATTAAGATATGAAACGGACGAACATCTTTTGACGTGCTCCTGCCAGGAGAATGGTGATTTGCATTAACATAATCTCCAGAATGTAGTAATGCAATGTCTTTTGCTACTTCAACAGTAGTTAATAGCAGACTGCCAAGACAAAGGACTTTAAATAAAAAATAATAATAATGATGAAAAAAAATAATAAATGGAACAAAACAAGATCTGACATACGTCCTGCTCCAATTTTTAAAAACAATCCACTAGAATTATTTATATCCGGATAATAAATCATTTCATCATGATTCTGTGTCGCTAATTCCATATAACTTTCTTGATCTTGTGCTCGAGTTATTGCGTTCCATCTTCGTCGAAATCTGAGAATGTCAATTGTACAATAAATCATCCATACTAACGACACAACATACAGGTAACAAAAAACGATCTAAAATAACACAATGTAAAGTTATTTAAAGAAGATTTATATGAGAAAATATTACCTGCATTGTTAAACGAATAGGAAATTCTTCTTTGAAAGCGAGTGTTAAAATCATAGTTAAAATAAAAATAATAAACAAAGCCGAAAGTGGCCATAAAAATACTGTTATAAATATTTCTGATTGTTTTCTAAAATATAAACCGCGTATTGTGAATACCTATTCAAATACAAAAAACTACTTACGCTGGCTCATTTTGGGTTACTAGATGCCGAGAAAATGGGATGGTTTCTTTAGGTGGTGGTGGTGGTGGAGGTGGACGGAACTTTGAATCTGACTTGAAACTTTCGGTAAGCGAATAGTGTTGAGGTAATGAGGATGAATGAGGATTCAGAAAAGTGCCGATTGTTCTAAAAGTGCTTCTAGATTTATGTCCCGTATCCAGCTGAACATCACTATGATTGATTGGTCCATTATTATATGAATAATCACTAGCTTCATGCGTTCGACTTGATGATTTATTTTTTGTTATTTGAGCAGGCATCGTTGGCGAATGTTTGTCAGTGACAATTTCTAATCCTTCTGTTTCTTCTGATGAGGACCCTTCATGTTTAGCCTAAAGATTCTAAGAGCATTGTCGTTTCTTACATGTTCTCATTTGAAAATACTAGACTTACCTTGCTATGGCTGAAAGGTGAAGGTTGTTTTTGTCTTTTTCGATTGTCTGTTCCATTTCCATTGTGTATTTCAGATCGTGACGTCTCGAATTTCGGCTGACGTAGGGTGCCAGTCGTCTTTTGTACTGGCCATCTTCCCTTGTTTAATAAGGTCTCAGTGGTAATCGTAGGAAATTGGGTTATCATGCTCGTCATACTACCGCGATGAGTCTCATCTTCATAATATTCTTCTCCATCTGAACTTTTTTCATCTTCGGTATCATATCTCATTTCGGTTTCTTGCAGACCTTGGTCGTGGGATGACTTTTTCGGTGAATTTGATCGATGTTGTGTTTCATGATCTAAACACCATGAAAACAAAATTTATTCTAAGAAAAGTAATTCAGCAATGCTTACCCAATCGTCTCAATCTGTATCGACGTCTGATCGTCGATGATCGTACTCGTGGTCGACCTGAATTTACTGATTTTTTCGTGTCTATTCTATTACTGGATTCTCTAATTGGTTCTAGATTACCGTTGTTGGTTGTACTCTCATTCAGAGTTCTTGTACTGATTTTGTGTTGACGAGAAGGCACTGTTTTATTATTTTTTTCTCTGACACTCAATGATGGTGACGCGTTTAGTGATGCACGACTTTGCTCATTTAAAACTATTCCATGTTGTTGAACTGGAACACCCAACGATGGTCTGTTAGCATCTTTCCTTTTTTTATTCGACTCATTATTCATGTTACTTTCGGAGCTTGTTGAACAACCATTATTATTTGTGTTATTATTAGGACTGAACATATTCACTTTTTGAGCTATCGATGAACTGATTCTCGTCGCTTTAATGGGTGCAATAGATGAATTATTTTCATTATTTGAGTTTAAATACCGACTGGGATTGCTCGTAATGCTTTTGGGTGAATATACATACATACTCGTCGTACCTGAGCTCATTGTGATCACTTAATCATTTAAAAGTAAGTCATCTTATCTGAAAGAGAGAGAGAGAGAAAGAAAATTTGAAGTTGCCGAAATTTTGTTATAGTGCAGAGTAGATTAAAAACGGGGTACGTATGAGACATAAATGCATTTTTAGTGATTAAATTGTTTTCCCACCAGTTTGATAATAAGGTGCTTAGGTGTCTGTTTGGATTCTCTAACCAAAAATTCATATGACAAACACATTCGGTTGCATTGCAACCTTATATCAAAACGCTTTAATCAGCATGATCTAATACTTGAAGTCCACTTATATTAGAATAAATGTAACTTTTTATGTTCTTATCGGTTTCGAAATCTGTATACTAAATGTGCCGCCTACAGAGTGCGTAGAGAACATGAATGTGTCTTTTTTAAACGCACCAAGCAGTTATAATATTTTCAAAGTTTAGATAAATTCTGATATTATATTATAAATAAAAGAATCTAATACTCAATCCCGTGTTGTTGTGATTGATTGATCGATTGATTTTTATTTGGTAACAACAGGACTAATATGTGAACACAGATAAACATACAATAAAAACAGAAACCTTTAATCTACATCAAAAACCCGTTACCGGGAAAGCAAAAAAAGTGCGATGCACCTATAAACCTTGCTACCATTTTCATAGTTGGAGATGATGCCTTAATTTTATTTTAAAACTTCTAATAGTGGTAGATGAGACAAGTGCTTCTGATAGAGTTTGATTCCAATCTCGCGCTGTTTGGTATAAAAAGAATTATAAAACAGTCTCCGTTCGAGCAAAAGGAACTTCTACCTGTCTTGAGTGTTGTGCTAACCTGTCTGATCTTCTTGCTGTATCTAACCGGATTAGGCTCAATCGAGAAAGTGGGGAGTGCCCATTTAGGATCTTGAAAAATAGTAGACGGCGAAAATATTTTCTTCATACCTCTAATGGAGGTAACCTGAGACCGAATACAAGATCTTTCCCTGATGTATCAAAATCCCGCGTAATCATGTGTGCCGCAAGATTTTGTACAGATTCAAGGGAATTCTGTAATGTCTCGAACTTGCTATCATACAATGCACAGGCGTAATCGAGCTTGCTCAAAATACATGTCTTGAAAATATGAAGCCGTACTGAAGCAGGAGCTTCTTTGAATTGGCGGTACATAGCACCTAGACGTTGCCTGCAGGTTTTAACTAGGTCGTTTATATGTGCTCGCCACCTAAGGTTATAGTTGATTTTCAAACCTAGAAGGACTAGACTTTGGCTGCGCTGGATGACGGAGACATCGCGTAATTTAAACTGAAAAGTATCAGCTTTATTTGGGCTGTTAGAAACAAACATCCATGCACACTTGGTAGGATTAAGCGCCATGAGGTTTGAATTACACCAGTCACATATTTTGTCAATATTCTCCTGACAGAATTGTGGCAAACAATCAGAAGTAACGGGACAAATCAGCGCACAGTCGTCAGCAAAAAGTATGGTATCGGCAGGGAGCTGGACTACAGAGGGTAACTCATTAATAAATATAAGGAATAGTAGAGCCCCTAACACTGATCCCTGGATTACACCCGATTTTAGTGGTGTAGGAAGAGATAGGAAAGATCCTACTCTAACTTGTTGTGCTCTATCAGTAAGATAGTTTTCGAATCATTGGAAACATAGAGGAGAAAGGCCTAGAGTGTGCATAGACGAGAAGTTATAATTTGATAAGGTACGTTATCAAAGGCTTTTTTCATGTCAAATGTGACCAAGACGCTCTCCACTGGCGGTTGCGAATTTAAATTGTTTGTGAGATTGTATAAAAAACAAAGAAGAGCATCAATGGTTGACGTCTTAGGACGAAAACCAAACCGTTGGCTTGAGAAAAAATTATTTACGGTCAAATGGTGAAACAGTTGATTGTAAATAAAGCGCTCCAAGATTTTACTCACGATCGACAAAAGAGATATTAGTCTGTAATTAGACACAATAATTTTAGAAGCTTTCTTATGAGTAGGATTAACAAAAGCTAATTTCCACTGATGAGGAAAAAAGGTAGTTATAGGTGCAGGCATTGGTCCAGAAACAGGTAGGGTACAATTGGAGAAATAATCCCCGAATAGATCCGCCTTTTCCTGTTCTGTAGAGGCTATTTTTGTCCCGTTATTAATTGTTGCAGGGAGACCAGTGTTACCCTGTCTTATACGATTAATTGCTATCCAAAAAGTAGCGGGTGATGTGAAAGATTTTGCAATGCGTGTAAAATGAACGCGTTTCAGTTTTTTTAAAGCATTTTTAACTTCCTTATGCCATTTCTTGAAACACGCTTGTGATTCAACAGTGTCACGTTTTTTATGTGTCTGAAACGCACAATTACGCCTGGGCATCAGATGATAATAACTACTAACTGAACATGACGTAGGAGAAAAAAGTTCTAACAATTCAAAATATTTTTCATACTCTTTAACTATAATACGAAGAGCAAATGAAAATATCACTTTTATTGGATTTGATTTCCAGAAGGATAGATTCAGTTTTTGAGCAGGAGGCAATAAATTGATGTGGAATAGAATTCGATACATAAGTTACTACCCCTCCATGAGGATTATGAGTAACTGCCGATAGTCTATCCTGCCTGTAGACAGAGTAACCTGAAATATCAATTTCAGAATCTGTCACACTACTAGTTAACCACGATTCCTGGATACAAATCACATCAATCGGGGTAAAACTGTCACTAGATATTTTCACTAAACTTTTCAGAGTATCTAGATTAGGGCAGAGGCTCTCGATGTTATGACAACAAACGGACAAGTTCCGTCTTGAAGACCTATTATTGTTTAGGACGTTCATAATTTTCTCTGTAGTTACTGTAGAGTTACCGCTGTATCAATTTTGCGATGTTATCAAATGTTCAAGATGTTGTTTCAATTTTAGAATTACATGGTCATATCCTGTATCATTCATGTGAATTTCATCGTATAACATATTTTTCTTTAATCCCATGTCGAATGTGGTTACGTTATCATAATCAACAATAAGGTGTCAATTGAACTTTTTTACATCTTTCATGATGTCATTTGTACGATAACTTTGTTTTGATCGACATGGTATTTTACAAACTGTTCTTTTCTTCCTTGGATAACTAGGTTGTGATAACTAGGTTCAATTTATCTATCATGAATCACGGCGACAGCTGACACGTCTAAAATATGTCGCTATGTGTCGATATAAAATCCGATTTTTGTATTGGTTGTTTAAAATGAATCCTCGGTTCTTTCTATTCTACGGACCCTTTCCATTCCGTCTAGATAATAGTTAGTCTGGTAATCATTTCCATTAAATTTTTTCTTTTCAATTAAGGTTGTTGTGGCCCCTCAAACTTCAATGAGGGAGGCGATAAATTTTGTTTTCGAACTGGTATCACAACCTTTATCAAAGGTGACAACTATCTAAAGTTTTTATTTTGATGAGACAAAACAAATTTTTTTCGGATTATTGAAAAGAAATCATCCTCGGAATCCATTAGGTCGCGTAACAGCTCTATTTATATAAGTAAGATTATTTTTAACTATAAGACTAATAACTTATTTATGAAAAAATAAGTGTCACCAAATGACTTCGCTGAAGTCAAAATGACATCAGCCAAACTACAAAAAAAAAATGAAACAGAACAGAAATAATAAACAAGAAAAGAAAAAATTAAAGTATGCAGCTTGAAGATGAATGGTAAAAAAATCAACACAAATAAAATAAAATTGAAAAGAGAACAATTAGCACAGTTTTATTAAAACTAGAAACACGGGCGAACTTGATAAAAAAATATTTTTAAATAAAGGTAAAGATGAAAAGCGCATAACTGATTCTAGAAATTTAAGTTGAACAAAAACAGAACGAAAAAACAGTTAGTGGAATGCAAAGATATTTGAAAGGATGAAGAGTAATGTGAACAATGAATAGCGTAGAAGATAGTAAGAGAACTAAAATAATGATGAATTTCAAAAAATCGTACAAGTTTAAAATAGTAACGACAAAGAGAAAGATTTGAAACAGATAATTAGAAAGCTATTTATTTACAGAGTCAAGAACTATTCTAGAAAACAATAATTAATTTTAGTAAAAATAGAGGAAAGCAAAACTCAACGCTGATTCAGGTCGTTTGATCCAAATGGACGTAATTTATTATCATACGCATTTTTAAGTATTACCCACAGCATTAACCTATTTAAAATATATTAATTATCTTTTATTATCATCGGACGGAAAAGGATTAATCTTATAAAGGCTTTGATTTTTAGAGTCCAATGCGTACAATCTTTGAAAAATGGAATATTTTCTCTATTTGAATGCTTTTGCTTTTCCTGTTCAAATACTTAAATTTTATTTAGTTGTTCAAATATTTTTAGTCTCTAAGATAAATTACTCTTTCTCTTTCTGATTCTTATTTTTCAATTTAACCAATATTAGAGTGTCAATGTACAATATTTTCAACATCATTCTTTTCTTCATCACATCGTATCACATTTAAATTAAAATTATATATCTGACATTTCGAATTGAAATTATAAAATGGCAACAGAAGATGTCACAACATCAGATGAAGATGAATCGTTAGAAGATGAATCAACAATAAATCGTAATAATGATTATTGTAAAGGAAGACTATTTAAATGGACAAACTATTTGCACGGTTGGCAAGAACGATTTCTTGTATTGAAACTTGGTTTTTTAAATTATTACAAAAATGAATATGAGATAAGTCTTGGATGTCGTGGAGCACTATCAGTAAAACAAGCACTGATTCAAGTATGTTCAAATCTGTCTTTTTCAAATATAAATTGTTAATGTTTTCCTTTTTATTGTTTTTCTTTTTAGCCTCATGAATTTGATGATTGTCGATTTGATATACGTGTAAATGATTCTGTTTGGTATTTGAGAGCTCATAATTCTGATGATAGAGAAAGATGGGTACAAGCATTAGAAGAACATAAAATTTTATGTAAAGCAGAATCGGGTTATGGTAGTGAAACAAATTTACGTAAACATCCAAGTTTAGGATCACTAACATCGACGGCAAGTATTAGTGTTGCATCAACGGGTTCATTTAAGGTAAAATTTTGTACTTTTGATTTTACTTCTTTTTTTAACATCATTATTTTTGTTATTGCCATCAAAGAAAGATCGAAGTTTAAAAGAAAAACTTAAAGAATTAGAAACATATAAAGATATTTTATGTCAACAAGTACAAACATTACAAACTTATTTTGATGCGTGTGCAAATGCTGTGACGAAAGGATATGAACCATATCAAAAAGAATGTAAGTTTTCGTTACAAACTTATTATAATCAAGAAAATAATGTTTATAGTTTTATTCTTGTTGAGAAATTTGAAAGATATTAAATAAAAAGAAAACTCCAATAATTAGTACGAAAAACATTGAGTTCATTGCATAACATATATACTAATAACAGTGAATTTTACTTTTGTAGTTTACTTCAAACAATAAGTTCATCTGTTCAAATTATATAGAGACAAAATTCATTTTATTTATATTTTTTGATTTCAAGTTTAAAATACTATAAAGAAATTTATTTTGTTTTTATTATACAGTAACAAAGCTTAGATAACGTTTATTCGTTGATATCATACGATGTTAGATCGTTGATAAGCAAAGATAAGCATTTCTGTCATTACTTTTCTCTTAATATCCGTTTATTATTAACTTTTTTTTTATTTCAGTCGAAGAATCCGGCGATGTGGATTTTGAAGAAGCACCAGATAAAGTCAAACATGATGACAATAGACTAGTAAAAAATGGTAATTTTAAGAGATTTGTTTATTAAATAAGTCTTTGTGGTTTTCTGACGGCAACGAAAAGAAGTGCCACATATTTAGGTCAACTTTCAAAGACGCTGTTATTGTCGTTTTTTGAGATTTTTTAAGCTAAAATTGAACTAGTCTTCACTTCTTTTTTTTTGGTGTTTAGCTACAATTGCTGGTGATCATGCAGGAATGGCAATCGATTTCAAAGGTATAATAATAAGAAAACACCTCTTTATCGTTTATTTTCGTCTGATTTTTATTTATCTAGGCGAGGCTTTGACTTTTAGAGCAACAACCGATGGTGTTGTACATAATCTTGGATTTTGTATTGAATTAATGCAAAAAAGAGAAGATATTTGGAAAAAGAAATATGAAAAAGTGTGTTTCTTTAAGCTCCTGTGAGATACGAATAGGATAGCTGTTTTGCTCCTTATATGAGTAATTTTACTGAGAGAATGAGTAACCACTGACGTGTTATTCTTTTTCTTTTTCAGGAGTTGGAAAGGCGAAAAAAACTTCAAGAATTATATGCTTTCACTGTAAAACACAAGATTCCAGCATTAGGTTCTCCAGATGCTGAAGTATGTAGGTTTATATAAACATTTTTACAAAAATTAGTTCTGTGGTCTTATTCTAAATTTCTACTGATTATAGGAAGGTCCTCATAGTACATTAAAAGATGAAGAATTTTTTGATGCATTAGATCAGTCGTTAGATCGTATTGATCGTGAAACTGAAGAAATTCTACGAAAAGTAAGTTGTAAATATGAAAATTTTATTTTGAAACTGGTTTCATATAATATATAATAGGTGAGAGAGTTACACAAAATATCTTGTAGTAGATGTGTTGACTTTCTCTATTAATTGCTTTATAAGAATCATTGACTATTTAACACGAATGGAATGATTTCCACTATTTGTGTTCAACGTCTTTTGTTAGTATAAAAAAAAAAAAAACGTTTTTCTCTATTTTGCAATGTTCCGATTTCTGACAATATAATAATATATTCCGTATGAGAAGTAACATTCATTTCTTTTTTACATCTTTTATGTTTTTTGGTGTTAGATTTGTTTCATTCGTTTTCCACTGATAAAAATCGTGGTTATAAAATTTTATAGCATACGTTTATGGAATGATTGCAGGTCAAATGTACTGCTTGATGAAACATAATAACCACTTATAAAAGGCCAATGTTTCTAAATTAATTTTAAGATTAATATAGGGTCTTTTATTATAATACGAAGTCAGATAAACTAAGTTTCTAATTTTAAGTAAACGTTTTTAGAGTCAATTTCTTATACATCGGCTTATCACGAACAGGTTCTCAATCTTCTATAAAATGATAACATATTAGAAATAGATATGGTAGCACAGTTACGTTATTAACAAATAGGCACCTTCTAGTTTTCTTAAAAAAAGAGTTGTACTTTTTTTGATAAATTATGCTATTAAAATAATTTATGATCATGAAAACAATTTTCTCTTTTCTCTATAAAAACAAATGCAAATTTTCATCAACTTTTGCCGAAAGATAGCCCTTGAATACCTTGGATAGAGTAGTAAATTGATAAAAAAAACGTTTAAGAGTACTACTATAGTGTCAAATGAGAGAAAATAAAAGTTTTACAGGAGAGAGACGGCACAGTGTACAAAAAATAATGTGTGCAGTTTCAATCTTGACTCCATTTTTGTTCTGAAAAAAATTCTAATGAAATATATCAGTACACTTCTTTTCAATAAAATTGATTCTATTTTCGTTAAATAAAAACGAAGATTAGATACATTTTAATTAGAATAAAAAGTCTTTTAGAGATATGTGCAACTAAAAACACATTACATCCCATTTCTTTATAGACTTTTGATGAATATATCAAAAGATTTAAATTACTGGAATCATAAACAACACTAAGACAGTCTATTGACAGACAATGAGATGATGTCTTTTGAAAAAATGTTTCCGTGAAAGAGAAATATTGAAAAGTTCTACCGCATATGAGACAAAAACTTTCAGAAGAAAATAAGCCATTTATAGTATTTTTTTAATTGATCAATGGAATTTTAAGCTATTGTAGAACTCTGTTTATAGTGCTGAATAATCAATACGTCAGAAAACTGTTTATGAGCAATAATTTTGAACCCTTTAAGAATGTTAAAGTTTTTTTAACAAAAATTGAAATTGATAAATAATAATCTGAGCACATCATTCATTTTTCAATTAAGTATGCTGCTAATCCAATATAAGACTTTTAGAAAAGAAGCTAACATAATCATCAAGATGAATAAAAATAAAAAATATTAAAATTTTCCTGTCCTGTATGATAATAAAATAGTGTGACAACTAACTTTTACAGCGTTTAGTAATATTGTCAACGAAAAATTTATGAATGAATGTCTATTTTTTGAAAAAAAAAGTTCGAATCAAAAGGGTACATTTAGTTTGCAATTGACCCTTATATGTTCTACGATATCACGTGTAGATTGATATAATATAGGATGGTATATTTTCTGAATATTTTTTTTATCATCAAATACACACATACTCACGCACAAGGTGAATGTAACGTACACATACTATTTAAATATAAGAATAGTAACAAAATCAGAAATATGTATTAAAAAAAAGTGAATAATACAACAAATTCGTATTCGTTGATGATGATAATGATGAACAGAAAGAAGAAGAAAAAGAAAAATGCACATATATTCCTAGGAATATATGTATTTTTCGTTCTTTTCATGAGTTTCGATGAGTAACAAATAATTTTCAAGTTTTTTTTCTTATAAAACAAAGAATAAACGTATTTTTAACAATCTGTTACTCTTCCATTACGTAATCATTTTGAAAGAAAGAAAAAGGTTTGATGATCAAAGCAGCATCTAAACATAGAAAAGAAAAAAAAAAGAAAAAACTCTTAAAAAAAATTTACTAATGTAAAGAAGAAGAAAAAAGAACGAAAAAGAAAATAATAATAAATATAAAACGGGTCTGCACAGACGTACACCTGTATTAACCTGATGTCATTAACAGCAGAGGTGGAAAATAATAATATTGTAATAATGAAATCCACAAAAAAATCATTTCATATTCCACCGTCCTATACGTTTACATCATTATCATCATCACGTCGTACAACATCTCTATCGACAATAGTTCATCCAATCGGGTCTACTTCGTCTTATCGATCACCTCATATATCTTCAGCACTATCACCACAGATACAATGTCAACTAAAACCACAGCCAACATCAGTTGGAATTCATACAACATCTAAGGTGGACAATAATGACGATTATGTAACACCTCCAACGAGTGTAAAAGATTCAAATCCATTTTTGAGTACTACAGAAAATGGAATCTCTAGTTCATCACCAAAGGTTAGTGTAAGTTATTCACTAAACCTTGACTTGTTTCATTCGTCTCTTTTCTTCTCTCTCAGTAACTACCATTCAGAATGATAGAACAGTAAACGTGGTACTTTAAAGTTACTGTTTTAACATTACTTTAGCGAATAGCGAGTAATGGTTTTTTATTTTATTTATTACCGTCACAGATAACTTTATTTTAAAGTACCACTCCTATTTGCACTCTTGTACCTTTATTTAAACATGATAAACAAAAAAGCGAAATTTCTGAGGACAAGAGATGAATATTGACAGTTTTCCCAATTTTGTTTATGAAAATGAGCTCTCATAAAATATAGTTTAATTTGTTAGCATTTTTATATTAGGCTTGTTTCGATAATCTCTTTTAATCGATTTGTACTATATTAGTTTGTTCAAGAGTCTCTCATTGTAAATTCATGACGACTGTCGATTTCATCTTTTAGCAAAAATATTTTTTTTTCTTATTATTTACTACAGAATAAGTTGATTGTTTCGTTTGAATGATATTTTGAAAGCTGTTCGATCAAGATAATTGTTAAATGTATGGTAAAAGTAGACGAACATGGCGTCAAGGCCATAGAATAAATATAATTGTCATTTTATACATTGCAGTTTCTGACTGAATAATGTTCTGTTTTTGATAATTAAATTGTTAAATGACAGACGCTGTTTCGACGTAGAATAGTAAGAGATGGCTTGTAACGGTTTTCATCTACTTTGTAGTTATGCTTGATTAAGTTCAGTTTTGCTTCTCATTGAAATTAATTGTATAGTCCAAAATGGAAAACTGACTTTTAATTGTTATAATTTGCTTATTCTTATTTTACTCTAGAAAAAATCTGTAAATATTACAGTGAAACAAAATCATTTGTCAACACAACCGTTAACTACGCAACTAATAAATTCGACAGCAACAGCAACAATTAATACCAATAGTAATGCAATATCAAAAGTATCTGCTCAAAAAGAAACAGCCAAACATAAATCACATCGTTTATCCAACGAGGTAAAGACACAGCCATTATCTTACTCGAGAATTCATTTGTTAGATTATTTAATAGTTTTAAAGAAACCTTTTTGATACTGCACTCTCATATCAACCACCTTTCAATATCTGTTGTTAGGTGTGAACAGGTATAAGATTTGTTCAGTAAAGGATGTGAGTACAGGCACAGTCAGAGAGCTAAAACATTTATTGAAAATTAAGTGGAAGAAAAATTAGTCATATTATTCCTTATATTTGGATTTTTCAATGAATTTACACTTTTTAGGCATTACAAATCGTTCTCGTGATTTATCAGGCATACTTGTAACTTTTATCTTATTGTCTAAGTTATAGACTTAAAAGTGGTAATAGTGGTTGTATTTTTCAGCAAGCTAGCTCTTGTGCTTCATTGATTGCCAGTCATATAAAACTAGTTTGGTTTGGTTTAAAATTACACTTCGAATAATTTTAAGACCAATCTCAGTAGCCTTATATATCACGAGAAAACTTTGTCTTCTTTCGACCGTTTAGGTTTCTCACTTCAAACACTCAATTTTGCACTTTTTTTTTAATATTCTCCCTCCCTTTTCTGCGACGTAAATTGGAGATGTCGATCTATAAAAGATAATATTCAGAGCGTGCATATGGCAAACCTGACATCTCTTTCAAAGGTAAAGTTGTTAATGAATGACTTTTTAATTGCGATATGTGGGTTTGATACGACCAGAATCACTAGTCTATCCTATCCTCTGAAAACCTATACAAATCCGAGATCTCAGCCTATAGTTGTTGTTAGATAACATTAGTTTTCCTAGGAGTACTCGAATCGATCTTGGGTGTGATGAGAAAACTCATTATAAATCTCCTGAAAATTTCTTTCACAATAAAAATGAGCAACCGAGTGAAATTGAATATTGACCAAAAAATAGTAGATATTTTTACTAAACGCATGTAAAAGATTTACAACTCCATAAAAATCTAACGACATCTTACGAGGGACCATTCCAAGGTGTTCCTTCGCTTTTGACCCGAACTATATCTGATTATAGGTAATCGACGATGCTGATTCCGAATATGATAGCCATTTTGAGCTCTTGTTGCTTTTTTAGTCGAAAATTTGAAAGACTGATCCTTTAGTCTCTGAGAGTTCAAATTTTATTTTCTTGGAAACTGTGTTTTCACAACACCAAATTACAGAGGGTATCAAACTCTGTGTATCCATCAATTTTTAGTTGCATCAGATATGTTTTAGAGGCACTAAAAATCATTTAAAAAATTAACCGTTTTCTGTGAACCGCTACCATCAGTTGAAATTAATAAACGCAAAGTTCAGTTAAAACATGTCCGACAAAAGTAAAACTTCATGTATATGTACGACTCGATATGCTCTACAATCTCTCACTGTTGAACTATAACTATATATGTATGTACTAACTATCAGAAAAGTTTTAGATTTTAGAGCTTCCAGAAAACCTTGGATTTCTGGAAGGTCAATACGAGCCCAAATGACTACCATATTCGGAATCAGGAACGTCGATTACCTATAATCAGCTATATTTCGGGCAAAAAGCAAGGAAACACCTTGGAATGATCCCTCGTTAGCATCTACTCAGTGTTACATGCTTTCTGATGTCACTGATGCTAAATAAAGTAAAAAAATTTAATTGTTGAACTATAGGCTTACTAGAAAACTGTACACACGCGCAATAAAGTTCCATTATGTCTTATTTCTTATATTATTCAAACCATGTCAATTTAAGGTTACGTTGAAAAGTTCAACGTGGTTTTGCTTAGATTTTTATTGCGAAAGCAAACATTTTCGGGAGATTTATAATTGTCGATAACCTAGGCTTTCATTCATTTTCGAAGTTTTCTCATTACACCCAAGCTCGATTCGAGTACTCCTAGGAAAACTAATGTTATCTAACAACAACTATAGGCTGAGATCTCGGATTTGTATAGGTTTTCAGAGGATAGGATAGACTAGTAGTTCTGGTCGTATCAAATCCACATATTGCAATTAAAAAGTCATTCATTAACAACTTTACCTTTGAAAGAGATGTGAAGTATGCTATATGCACGCTTTGAATATTATTTTTTATAGATAGATGTTCTCTAGTGGTCTATATCGAACAGTGAAGAATACAGCTCTGTACTGCTTTCCGATCAAATGTTGTTCGACGAATTCTACTCTGTTTTGAAAACTATAACAGTACGAGTGGATGAATTCCAAGTACGAATCGAGTATCGGTATGAAAAATTTGTGCATACTCATTCTCATTCAGTTTTCTCTGTTGTTTCCTAACTTTTCTATTTTTCTTATCAGATTGAGAGAATTGTTCAAGATCATTTGAAATATGATCGAGAAAATGTATCCGACTTATGGGAACTCATTCATCATGAAGGCGAAATGAAAGTTTATCGCCGCGAAGTAGAAGAAAATGGAATTGTTGTTGATCCACTCAAATGTTTTCATACAGTAAAGGTACATTGATACTGAACGAGTTATGATTATCGTTGATTTTCCGATATTATTTGTAGGGTGTAACTGGACGTGAAATATGTCATTATTTTTTTGACCCAACCTATCGAATGGACTGGGAAAGTAAGAAGAAGTATGACAAATTTGACGTATTGTATAATATTTTGATTCTCTCATTTATAGCTACGTTGGATTCAACGAAAGTTATCGAAACACTCGATAAAGATAATCCAGATACACTCATATTCTTTCAACTACATAAACGTGTATGGTACGAAATATTCTTTTAGTAATACGTTGTTTGCTTATTCATCACTCTTGTTTTGTTTTAGGCCATCTGCTCAACGTGACTCATGTTTTTGGTCACACATACGTTGTGTATCGACTGGTGAAGAAGATCAACCACTTTGGATCGTCGTTAATTATACCACTGATCATGCTCAAGCACCAGTAAGTAGTTTAATAATCAATATATAAATAAAAATGTTTAATTGAAAAATATTCTTTCAGATAAAATCTCCATTCGTTCGACTTGTGGCTAATGTAGCTTTAACATGTGAAACACAAATCATTGAACCACCATTAAATCCAAAAGATATTAAACGAGAAAATCTTCTGTGCAAATTGACTTATGTTGCATTTGGTAAAATATATCAAATGTTCATTAAAAAAAAGTATATATATTTCATTTTTCTTCTGTTTAATTCTAGTGAATCCTGGTGGTTGGGCGCCAGCTGCTGCTCTTCGTGCAATTGCAAAACGTGAATATCCTAAATTTCTTAAACGTTTTACAAGCTATGTTATTGAACAAACACGAGATCAACCAATTTTGTTTTAAATTAATTAATAAAATAACAGGATAATGTCTTATTAATAATTGTTGTTTTTCATTAACAGCACATAAGATGATGTTGTTTGGTTTTTTCATTTGATGGACAGAAACTCATTTTTTGTCTTTTTATACTTGTTGTTTGTTTTTGTTTTTTTTTCTTTTTGTTTCATCGATTTTACTTTTATAATAAAACGCGAAACAACGTTTTGTTTTAATAAATATTGCACTGCTAGTGTGCAGATGCTATATTTGTCTTTTAATCCTTTACCCCGTCCCCCAGCAGGGAGTAGGAGCAGGTTAGTAGGATTATCGTGATTCATTGTGATACCTCACTTTAATAAGACATGCTTTGCATTTTTCGCCGAAAAAAATGTATCTGGTACATTCTTCTACCAAATTTATGGATGAAAAATGATAAACTTTACTCGTCTGATGCCAGTCAGTCATTTTTTTTTAAAGTCAACATCGTCTCATTTTAAGTCATCTTCCTGTTCCTTTATCTAGTAAAAATTGTTTAATATGACTCTTCGTTTTCTCTTTTTGTATGTTTGGGCTATTGTTCTAAATATTCAAATATTTTTGTTTTATGTTATTTATTTATTTCTTGTTTTTTTAAAGGAACTTATTCTCTCTATTATTTTTGTATATATAATAGATAATTTGAAATTATTTTGTCATTATTTGTGATTGATTGATTATCAAGAAATGTGCGCCTCTTTTTTTTAAACATCCGAGTTCATACATTTTGAGAAACTCTTGATAATCCAAGGAATTGAAAAGTTTATATCTGAAAATCGATGGGATTTTATTGATGTTTCCCATCCTGCGCAGGCGTATTAGGCGTATGTATTACAAAAACTGAAAGTAAAGAAGTATAGGCTGATAAAGTTTGATATCTTTGATATCTTTTTCTCTATGAAGGTCGGTTTCAACTGTACTAGATAAATGTTTGTGAAAAAATGGTCGAAAATCTGACAGTTTCTTATGTAAATTCAATTTGTTTCTGTTAGAACCTATTTTGAACCGATAAAAAGATGATATTCGGAATCACCGCGAAGAACAGCCTTGAATCATGTATAACACCTTGGTTTTATGAGCCATTTTCGCTAAGAAACGATCGAATGTACTCAATCGACCATTTCAAATTTTTTTAGAGTAGAGGACATGTTTAGAGCAAACATTTTCATGGCTTTTCAACGAAAACGACAAGTCTAACAGTTGTTTCGTTGCTAAGATATTCAATTTCTATGAAAAATTCAAATTCTACCATGTTGAAAAATTGCCAGTTTAATTGACTTTCTAGCGAACGCCCAAAACGGTAATGTTTTATCTTTCAATAACTCAAATTTTCGCTCATTTTTTTCTGAGAACAATTTCTGGCTATATCTCCTTGTTCTTAGTCTACCTTTGTGTCATAATATACAGCAGTTATAATTGTTTTCTTAATTCATCTCTTCAGTGGCATTTTCATCTATTTTTCGTATGTGCTAATGATTTAATTGTAGTGTTATTTTTGTTCGATTTAACTCGTTGAATCTATAATGATGCTTATGGTTTGGTATGGAGCAGAAGTTTTAAACTATTAGTCTGTAGTGTTGTGTGTGATATGAATTGATTATATAAAAACCTTTTAAAGAATGTCAGTAACAAAATATTTATTTAATTTTCCATTTTTAAAATTTTTTATCATTTTACATGATTTTTAAAGTAGATCAATTTTCGTTCAGCATTATTATTATCTAATTCAGTGCATTATGTAGTTTCACATTTCAGTCCCATAGGACTTGCTTTAACAAGATTTTTTAATTCTGGACGGCATGCAGTTTTTTCTTTGTTATAGTTCTGAATCGACATTTTTACGCCGTTTATTACAATCGACATTTCAAAAGAATGATGCCCGTATCTCAAGAACGAAAAGAAATTAAGAGGTAGAATTTTCACCATTTTAAAGTCAACACTTTGACTCATCTTTATGTAAGAGAAAAAAATTGAAATGGGTAGTCCAGAGTGTTCTCTTCAAAATGGAAGTAAAGTGAGCCCTCGATTTTTAATGGTTGAGGTGTGGCATCGGATTTGAACCTTGAAAGGGCATGAAACATACGTAATTAATCACGGTGAATTTGGCGGTAATGTTTCTTTTTGGAGAAGAACTCCAAAACCTGACAAAAATCGAGTTTTTTTAAAATTGAGCTTTCAACCTGTTTTCACGTGGTATTAAAAAACTCATTATTCACTAAAAAGGCATCAGAATGAGGCTTTTCTAGATCCCCTATTGGAAAACCATAGACTTTTAAGCAGACTTCTTATAAATAAAATACAGAATAGTCTAAATATAACGTATCTTGAACTTTTCCGGGAAATCTGATACCACATCTAAACCATTAAAAATCGAGGGTTCACTTAACTTCCATTTTGAAGAGAACACTCTGGACTACCCATTTCAATTTTTTTTCTCTTACATAAAGATGAGTCAAAGTGTTGACTTTAAAATGGTGAAAATTCTACCTCTTAATTTCTTTTCGTTCTTGAGATATTCAAAAAATATTCATAGCCATCATTCTTTTGCAATGTCGATTATAGTCAGAGGGACTGTTAGGGACGTGGGCGCCCATATGTACGCCCGCGTCATTGTCATACATGGATGGAAAAATACTAGAGAGCATCGTCCAGGAGTGCTTATGGACACATTCTCTTTGTCTAGGGACGCCCCTGGACGGTTTTATCGGTCCATGGGCTTGAATGAAAATTTATTTATTTATTTTCTTCATAGAGCACAGTTCTCTAGCAGCAGATGTCTCTAGCTCATACTGAAAAATGCAGAAGGTTCTTTTTTTCTAAAGTGGCTTGAGAAATTCATTCAGTACTCGCAACCACTACTGCTGCAGAACGGGCATTCAGTGCAGCGAGGTTAATAGTAACTGAACTTTATTACTTTATACTATACATTACTGAATTTTATTACGAAAAGACGTTGTCATCTACGAACAGAACGTACGCGCCCATAGGACGTGGACAAAAAACTTTTTTAAGGTGCTATCCGTGGACACCCATGGATGGAAACATTTGCATCCATAACAGTTCCTGGTAGTCAGTGCGTACAAGATCGAAAAACAATATACTGTGTTACAAAAAGAAACAAAATACGGTAATATAACGTTTCGAACAGAAAATTGATCGATTTACATTTAAGTCTACAAGAACACGTTCTTTTCACTTGTATTTTAGGTATGATGTTAGCTAAATATTGAGCCCCGGCGTTCTCGCGGTTATATCTATAGAGGACTTGGATATTACAGTGTGTCCCAAAAGTCCCTTGTGGAAAATATTTTTGAATTACTCCTCTGTTTCATTGAACTTCATCAATACTTTTTTTTCATATGATGCATATCACCGTCAAGTTTTTATTGATATGAAAAAAGCCTACAAATATTGCTCAAAGGTATCACCTTGGACAGAAATACAAAAATCCATTCTTTTGCGGATTTCCGAAAAAACATTCCACAATGTTTCTGTTTTTATCGCTTTGATTTCTCGAGTTATTCTCGTCTTTAAATCATCAATATCGTGCACTCTCGTTTTTATAAATGTTCGTTTTGACATGACCGTGCGCGATGTCAAGCAAGCAGATCATTGATCCGTTGTTTTTTTATGAGAAGACGCTGAATCAAGATAACTACCTTGACATGCTTGAAGGATATTTCTATCCGATCTTACAACAGAAACGGATGACAAAAGAGGTAATTTTCCAACAAGATGGTGCCCCAGTACATTTCTCAAGAGCAGTTCGTTCGTGGCTCAACAACAAGTTCCCTGGTCGGTGGATTGGAAGAGGTGGACCCATTTCGTGGGTTCCGAGATCACTAGACCTCACTCCGTTGGATTTCTTTTTATGGGGTCATGTCAAAACGAACATTTATAAAACGAGAGTACAAGATATTGATGATTTAAAGACGAGAATAACTCGAGAAATCAAAGCGATAAAAACAGAAACATTGTGGAATGTTTTTTCGGAAATCCGCAAAAGAATGGATTTTTGTATTTCTGTCCAAGGTGATACCTTTGAGCAATATTTGTAGGCTTTTTTCATATCAATAAAAACTTGACGGTGATATGCATCATATGAAAAAAAAGTATTGATGAAGTTCAATGAAACAGAGGAGTAATTCAAAAATATTTTCCACAAGGGACTTTTGGGACACACTGTAGCTACCTGTTAAACGAAGATACTTGTAAAATAAAAATAGTTGAGGAAAACCGTGTCAAATAAAAAACACTTGACTATGATAAACATTATCGCAATGTCGTGTTCCAGTATTACATATATTAGTAATTATTCAGAACAGAACTGATTATTATTGCCATCATCAACAATTTTAACTATATCAGCTTATGAAGGACTACTTTATGAAGGCAATATTGAGAGAGTTGGCCAAAAATCAAAATCAGGAATATCCAACTAAAAAGCAAAAGATTTTTAAAGATGATGGATACTTCTAATACATTCTCTTATAACCTTTCCAACTTTTATGATTTTTCTGGCATTTGCTGCCTTTATAGCTTCTGTCACAGTTCTGCGGATTGATAGGGCGGTGACATACTATGATCACTGCTGACAATATTTGCTATTAATAAGATCAGAAAATTATTTCTATTGAATATGATCATTTATTAAAATACACAGCGTTCATATAACTTTCTCCTCAGCTGTTCGCGTACTCGTCTAGCGAAATACGATCAAGCTGTCTACTTCTCATAATCCGAAGCAGAACAGTGACAAAAGTTATAAAACTTGGAAAAATTATACAAGTTATAGAAAAGGTGAAGTATGATAGACCAGGAAAGGATTCAACATTCTTATATGCTATACATCAGTTATCACAATTCGCTCAGAGCCGTGAAACATTTCATTTTGTAGGAAAATGTTTGCTCTACAAAATGCATCTGTTAAAAAATTTCCAAAATCATTTCTCCGAAAACTTAGAGCATTCGAAAATACATTAAACCAC